TGAAAGATGGAAAAAACCTAGGGCAATCATGAGTTTGGGAAATACTTAAATAGAATGAAAATGGAGAACCCAAACAAAACTGGATTAAGAAAACGAATGGGATCCGTGCAAAGTACAGCTTTATGTGGAAACATAGAATTTGTCACGTGATAGTTATTCAGTAAACAGCTCCAAAAAATATTAAACCCGGACTAGCCGACATGCTCATGACCACACATAGGAATGGTACGCAACAAGTTAAGCATAGGTAGCTTTACGGAACACGCAAAGCGTTGAGCAAGAGGGTCAATTGTCGCCACCATCATTAATTAATTAGATAAGCCCAGAAAACTTATAAAATCATTTTGGTAAAATTAAAATGCATCTACGTAGAGTAAATCATATCACCTTAGTGGGAATTTTGATTTCGACGTCACCAAGCGTTTGTATCCAACGGTAGTTCGGATGATCTCCTCCATTACCATCGTTCGGCTTTACTTTGTCCTTGCCAAATCCATCATCATCATCATCGGGAGATTCTGTCTTCGCAGCGGAAACATCGGGCTCTTCCTCCCCAGACTTGCCAACTTTTACTGGTAGGGTATCCTCGGAAGTATGCTCTTCAATCTCCTTAACGTGATTTTTAACAGAAGTTTCTTCTAAAAGCACTCCATTCGAGGCTGAAATAGTCAAACAAAATTTAGTTAGATGGAACTAGATGCTAGTAGGCTCAGACCAAACACATTCAAAGGCAACGCAGATTAATGAAATGTTAAAATTGCCATATTTGGGTAAATGTAGCATACGGGTTGGGTGTTCCTTCGCCGCATTTGCCTTTATCTTTGCTTCCTCACGCTCGGCCCTTCTGACTTTCTCTCGATCCTCTCTCTCCTTTGATTCAGCTTTTTCCTTCAGCTGCCTCATCAGAGCTTCTTTCTGTGAACGCAGTAAAAAGTAGTTTCGGTTAGCGAAATTTGGGTTTTAACTATTAGTAAAGAATAAGACGCCAGTCCCCATCATAGCTTACTCTGTATTTGTTAAAATTGTCCAAAAGTAACTCTTTGGACGTCTCTTCTGTTGCACCAAAGAAAAAATCCGTGCGCCGCGCCAGAAAACCAAAAAAGGCATCCATGAGGCCATGAATGCCATTTTCACAAGTACCGGCAACGTTCATAAAAATCCCATCGTAATCGGGCTGCATTACTGTAAACATGACATCATTTAATTGGATATTTCAAAGGTTTGATAACAAAAAACCAAACGCCTAGATATTTTTATTAAAAAATGGTTCATATTTCAAATTCATGTACAGTTTCAAGTGATAATGTCACTAAATCAAGCCAGGAAGTAACAGAGGTGCGCAGTTTTCTCAAACTTGCATCGTAATTGGTCTTATTATCTAAGCAAAATGAGTAGAAGGTTCCTATGAGTTGATTATCATTCCAAGAAGTGATGCAGGTTACCGTTGAGCGAGGTGGGGGAACAATTGAAATAGACTTGCCCACGATTTCAGAAATCTTGGAGTTTGGACAAGCAATCCTGATGGTCAAAAAATTTTTGTTCTCATCACTCTGGAGTTCGGCTGTCATTTCGCGTAGAATCTAGTGACCTTAGT